TCGAGCAAATAAAAGTAGTTTCTATAGATGGTTTTAAAAAACGGTATATGTACTTATTTTGAAGTAGAAATTTTTAAAATTATTACAAAGAAAATGGGACGAAATCAGTCGAAGACAGAAAAAAGTTCATTATATCCAACTTCCTCAATTTTTTGGTTCACTATATCCACTAAAAATAACATTATACGTGTATAGCAAGGCACGGGACCGAGCATTTCGTTCACTATATCCGGGAGTTCACCATAAGCCGTGTTCACTATAGCGGGGTTTGACTGTATTATTATTAATTCATCTTCTGAGTCTTTTATTGGCAGAAAACTTTCAATGTCGAAGATATTCATATCAGCATCAATGGCTTGACAGCCCAAGGTGGCCCTTGGCCTTCTCAAGAAGTTTTTTTTCCGGGCTAGCATTTTTCCTGCTAGTGTTTTTAAGACCAAAAGGTCCTTCTCTAGGCTATCTATCCATCTCAAATTCAGCCCGCCTCCTTTTCGTGTGCCAACTGGTCTGGCATTGAAAACTCTTTGTGGTACGGTCTTCGTCCATTCTGATAACATGGCCTATTCATTTTATTCTTTGTATTTTAATGAAGTTAATAATATCAGGTTCATTGTATGAGTAATAAAGCTCTAGATTTGATCTTCTAAGCCACCCACCATTTCTTTTTTCTTTTTTCCAAAAATACTCCTCATGGCCTTTCTCTCAAAGGTACCCAACATAGCCTCATACGTACAAGATGTGGTCCAGGTTTCACAAGCCTATGTTAAAATTGATCTTGAAAGAGATTCATATAATAAAATTTCTGTTACTCTATGAATTACATTAGATTTTATGCATTTTCGAGTTCCATTATAACATTTATTAGCTATAGTAATTCTTTGTATTTCCAAATTGTAATATTATTCCTGTTGATGATTACAGAATCCAAGTAAACATAATTGTCAACAACCTCAAATTTATATTCTTCAACTTCTAAATGGATGTTATCGAAGCTTGTTTTAGTACAGGGCAAATGTTTAGTTTTGCTCTCGTTTATTCTCAGGCTCAGCTTGAGAGCCGCTTTCTCTAAAGAAATAAAAGTCTATCTTAGTGTTCCAGCAATAATGTCATCAGCGAAGATATTCATAACTTAGCATAGCAATTGTTGAAATGTAATTTTTTTTTAAATTAAAATTACAATTAGACAATCAAATGTGTAAAGCTCAAAATAAAAACACGCTTTAATAGATTTCGGTCTGAAAATGAGATTTTCACCATTTAACATTTAAGCTTAATGTTTTGAGATAGGTTAATCGTAGCCCTTTATGTTTCTACTATCAGCGACCAAAATTTTTTTCTCCACCGTTTCATGAAATGGGAGTGCTGCCGGATTAAGCGTATTCGGGGCCTTAAGCCATTCAAATTTTTGGGGCCCTTAGATTAAATTTTTTTTTCTTGTATATTTTTTACTTATTCAAATATAAAAGTTTATTATTGAAATTATTTACTGATCAAATAGAATTACGGACGCTAAATAATTATAAAACACTAAAAAGAATTATGAGACACTTCAGCTGAGGCACTAAATAACTTCTTTTTCACTTAAAACGTCTCAATCATGGCAACAACATTTAATTCTTTGTTTCTTGTTTAAACAAGTCTCAGATCGCTGTAGTACAGCCTTCAATTTTGCGTGGCAAATCACAAATTTAAACTTAAAAAACATTGACAAGTCTTATAATACGTAAACTATAATATAATACTTATTAATATAATAACTAAAATAAGTAATAAATAAATATGATTAACATTATGTAAAAAAATTATCGTGCTTTAGTAATATATATTTGAAATTGATTTTTTTTTTAAAAAAGAACATTTTTTTTCTTAATTTTTTTAAAATTATTTTCAAAAAATCCATTTTAAGGGGGCTCCTAATCATTGGGGGCCTAGTCTGGCCTATTGGGTAATCCAGCACTGGGTGAACACCCCCATAAAATCACCACATATGTTAATTTATAGAGGTTTCGAAATCGTTCTTCGCCACTCCACAAATCTCTCAGTCTTAGCGCATGACTGCTGACGCGTGAAATTTTCTACATCTGAATTAAGATTTACGGACCAAGGTCGAGTGATTGAATAATAAATACATAATTACCTGTATCTCATAAGGCATACCAGTTGCGCAATTAACGAAAGTTGGGCGAAGTAATTCGATTATGGTATATAGAAGGAGTTTATTTATATTTATTGGCAATGATATGGCTACAAGTGAAAATTATTATTCTATTGGATGGCAAGACATTTTTTTTCTTTTTTAACACGAAAAATAACAATACTTGATCTATACCAATTTCTACCATGTCAAATGACGGGACTTTTAAGTTTCCTGATTGAATGTATGAAATATGAATGTTATGAAAGAAATAAACTAAAAAAAATTTATTATAATTGAACAAAATTATATATTGCCAATTTTTATGTATTACAAACATAAAGAATAAGAATTTTTAATTCATTGCTCATCGCATTTTTTACATATAGGGGAGAGTCGGGTAGCCCCGCCCACTGTCAATTTCATATGTATAGAATATTTTTTCAAGTCAATGGACCATCGGACATTAATTGTTATTTTAAAAAAAAGATTATTTTCAAAGATTCAAGTATTTATGCAGCTGTTAACATGGTAAACAATAGTTTTGAAAATATGTTGAATACAGTAGTCATGAAATTAAGAAAAATTGGTTGAATGTTTCGATTAAACTTCATTTTAATACTAAAAAAATAATTTTTTCTATACATACAGCATTAAAGTATGTAGTCTTAAGTTTAATTTGCACAAAGAAAGAAGTTTATATGTGAAAAATTGTTCGAGTAATTACAAATTTACAAAAAAATTGGATTTCGGGTAGCCCCGCTCACATGAATGTCGGGTATCACCGCCCAATTTTATTTCGTCGATAAATGTACGGTTGCAAAGATTATTATTTTATTGCTTCAAATTTGAATGTTATATGCATTTTTAACAACAAATATTGTTGTTATTAAATGATTGTTATTAAATGATAGAATTCACTAAAAGTATATAAATATGTAATAAATAAAATAATTTTGTGATAAAAATGATAAATGAGGTTTATCTATTGTCAATACATTGGTCATTTTCATTTACACCTGAAAAAACAGTCAAAAAACATAATTTTTGTAACTGGGTGGGGTTACCCGACACATTTTGAAAAGAGATGAAAAACATGTTTTTTTTTTTAATTTTTATTTTTTTAAGTTAAACTATTCTTTTTTTGGTTTATTCTTTTTGCATTATTTAATTAGATGATAAAACAATAGAAACATACAAAAATATTGATTATTACTCATTATTATACAGAAATATAAACAATACTCCATAAGTGGGCGGGGCTACCCGACTCCCCCCTACAGGGTGATTCCATTGTACATTTTCCGTAAACATATTTCTTCTAATTATAATTATTTCTAAAATTCTTCTAATTATAAGAATTATAATTATTCTTATAGTTAATATTATTTCTTCTAAGAACGTGTGCTGTCTTGATTGTTTCGACATTTTTCCGGGTGAAAACTGACAATTAGAAATGAGGTAAAGCTATCAAAATAAAATATAAGCTACTTTCCAAAACATTTAGTTTTTGTCACTCTTTCTGACGCAAAAATACCAGTCTAAAATTTTAGGTACTTTCTTGAAATTTGAATTCATAGTTATTCTGATTGAACTAAATACGCAATATTCTTTGCAGAAATGTGCAACTAATCGAATGCAATGCATTGAACACGCATTACATATCGTAATATCTGATACGATAACCTTATAAAGCAATAAATTGTTCTCCCGGTCAATTGACCGGTTGTGGTAGAAGTGGGTATACAACAAGTATTATTCGAAACAAACAAAATATAATAATAGTAATAGAATATTAACTCTATATAAGTGTTAGAAAAAGTCATGAAGTCAAATGTGCAGAAACGATAAGATGATAAGCACATTTTCGATGCAAAAGTTCTTAAACGGTCATTTGACCGGTATGTTTAGCGTTAAGATAGGTGATTTGTTGTCACCTACTTAGTTTTACGGTTTCCAAACAGGGCAACATGGACAGATGCATAGAATAAAATAAAAAATAGCCCGGATAACTTTTGACCTAATGCTCGGATTTTCGCGTTCTATCATAATAGTTTGAAAACCTCGTCCTAAACACATTAATTCTACAGATGATATTTCAAGTTGAAAAATCAGATAAAAAAAAAAACTTTTTTTTAGAAAAGAATTCTTTTTACCTAAGCTGTCGAAAGTTTGGACACCTTGACGTTAATTTTACTTTTCGCGTATTTCACCATATGTTGAGAACTTTTTTAGCGAATAATTTTTTTTTTTTTTTGCTCATAATTATAAAATCAGTTCATTTAAAGATATTTCCTCACAAATAAATATTTTTAATAATTGTTTTTTTAAGAATTATTTTACTTGTTCATACGTTTACCATTTAAATAATCTAATTTTAAATGGCAAATAACGGATTTTAAACGAAATCGGTTGAATTTTTGATTGATAACAGTTTTGAGAAATCAGATTTCAACTTTTTTTAAAATTTGATAACTAAAACTATACTGTAATTTTTTCTTCTGTATTTTGTTTTATAATACACTAATAATTAGATTATCTTTTTTTAATCCTGTCATATCACACCAATTTATATGATACCATAAATTTAAACTTTAAATTTAAACCCTCAAATAGTTTAACGTAGTTAACATAATAAAAGTAGAAAAAAAATTTCAATTGCGTCGTGTGTTCGTGAAGTTTTCAATTTTATTACTTCCTTTGCAATCGCAAGAAAGTTGTTATAATTTAGTAAAGTGCACAGAAAGATGCAATATCTGAATAATTTTTAATCTGACTGTTGATTTTTAACCTATTAATGTACGAATGAAATTTTAAGTTATGAAATCAAGCACAAAAACAAATTTAGAGAAAAAAAACACTCTAGTGCGCTAAAATTATTTATTATGAACAATGTATTGTTTTACAAGGTACAGTGCATCTGTATCAGCTTCTTTCAATATAATTTCAATGATTACTATAGTGCAGTGTGGATGCAATACAGGATACTTGTCGAACTTTTCCTTAGGCACATTATTTATAATATTGTGAATTATCACCATTCACCCTTTGAAATAAAATTGTAATAAGTGAATTAAAAGAAGGAAAAAGTGATTTCCACACATTATAAATCAAATTGACATTTTCATTTATTCCTTCAGTGTACATATTGCTCCGAAAAGAATGGTGTTTCTTGTAATATATTTTCTCACGTGCTCAGGAACTGAAAACCTGAAAAATAAAACAGAACATTTAAAAATAATTCATGTAGTGAGCAAGATTAAAAATCAGGAATATTTTTATAATGATAATATATGTATATGCAGTCGAACCCCGCTATAGTGAACTTGGTTTATAGTGGGCCCCCGGATATAGTGAACGAAATGTTCGCTCCCGTGCCTTGCTATACACGTATGATATTAATTTTCTTGTATATTGTGAACCGAAAGAAGAGAGGAAATTGGATATTATGAACTTTTTTCTGTCTTCGACTGATTTTTTTTTCTTCATTTTTTGGTAATTTTGAATTTCTAAATTTATTTAGAAATTTCTACATAAAATACATGTGCCGATTTTTAAAACTATCTATTGAGTGGAATATAGCCGTAAGCATTTTTTTTTTCTTGTTTGCTTCTTCTATCTCAGTTACCCATCCCTAAATAAAGGTCATCCCTAAATTTGTCTGTACGCAGTACGCACGACGAAGAGTAATGAAAAATAAAAGTTAATACATTTCTTTTTGTTGCTACGTGTTATTTTTCATTCATTTTCATACTTCCTTTTATTGGTAATTTATTTAAATAATGTGTATTGAAAAGTTTGAAGCCATTAGTTAAAAATTGTTTGCAGTGCGGATATCGTGAACTCCTGGTTATAGTGCACCGAAATTTCGGTCTCTTGAAGGTTCACTATAGCGGGGTTTGACTGTGTATATATATATATATATAAA